TAACGCAGTTATTAATGCAGTCTAACGCAGTTATTAGAGAGAGAGAGAGGGAGAGAGAGAGAGAGATAGATTAAGTGCGTGTGAATACCTGCATCTGTGCGTCTCTCAGCAGTGTTCAGCAGCAGCGTCTAGCGAATCTTTAAGTTGAACTGCTTCAAGAACCTCGCTACTGAGAAATGTCATGTAGCTTTTCAGCTGCAAAACTATTTTATTAATAAATTTGCAGGGCAGAGCTGACAAAAGGTTTCTGTCCAAGTCTCCGCGTGTGTGCGCGAGTGCATGTCGGTATAACTACTGTGTCTGTGTGCGTCTGTGGGAGAGAACGGGAGAAGGAAAGTTGTGTTTTCTGTACACAAAAAAGGTGGAAGACATGGAAATAGTTTGTAATTTTTACCCTATTGTTTGTTATATATTTGCTCATAGCGAATCTTTAAGTTGAACTGCTTCAAGAACCTCGCTACTGAGAAATGTCATGTAGCTTTTCAGCTGCGAAACTATTTTATTAATACATTCGCGGGGCAGTGCTGACAACAAGTTTCTGTCCGAGTCTCCGTGTGTGTGCGTGAGTGTGTGTCTGTAACTACTGTGTCTGTGTGCGTCTGTGGGAGAGAACGGGAGAAGGAAAGTTGTGTTTTCTGTACACAAAAAAGGTGGAAGACATGGAAATAGTTTGTAATTTTTACCCTATTGTTTGTTATATATTTGCTCAATGTCTTATGGGGTTTTGGTTCTTTTACTGTTGTAGATATCCCATAGTATAATAAAATATTATATATCTCTTTATTGTGTTTGGGCCCCCCTGGACGAGCAAGCATAGGCACGTGCCTAGAATGCCTATGTGTAAAACCGGCCCTGAGTAGACCTGTTTTTCAGGTGGGCTGGCAGGATGGGGGAAGGGCCTGCAGTCAGGCCTTCGGCTGCTATTACACCTGTGCAGCAGATGCTGGCGTCTGGCTCTGGGGCTGTACTAACATCTCTTTTTGGTGAGGAAAAGAATCAGCACAATCATTTCTCTATTCAGTATTAATTCTGAACATGTTTGTGAGATCATTTCCTGCATTTGTCTGATTTTAGCATAATGTTTTCTTTTTATGTGTGTGTGTGTGGGGAAAAAAATAATGTACATGATTCTTTTTAATGCACACACATTACACTTCAAGTATGGGTGTATAAGTCAGTTTTTTTTAAATACTTTTATTCATCAAGGATGCATTAAATTGTTTAAAAGTGACCAAAAAGCGATCAAAAATTATAATAATAAGAAATGTTTTCTTGAGTTATTTTAAACTGTAATAATATTTCACAATATTATTGTTTTTATTGTATTTTTGATCAAATAAATGTTACTTTGGTGAGCTTAAGCGACTTCTTTCAAAAACATTAAAAAACCTACTGACCTCAAACTTTGGAATGATACTGAATGTAGGGAATATAATTATGTGTTCGTAAAGTAACTGATTCGCCCATTTTAGAGTTTAATTTGACATTGGAAGCTTTGTGCTTGTGCAAGCATTGTGCTTTATAGATGGAATTATAATGCTTATAAAATTTAATATAATACTTTTATTAAAATGAAGACAAAATTGTACTCTTTCTCTTTCTCCCTCTCTCTCTCTCTGCAGTCACACCACTGGATGTAGTGAAGATCAGACTTCAAGCCCAGCAAGCTCCCCTCTATAAAGGTACAGATATTAAACTCTTCAGTTTTCACAGACAATGACAGATGATTGAACAGTGAATTTCATGCATTTATTCTAGACACACCAGTTCAACATCCATGTTGAAGTGAAGATTTTATTTGCTAATAACATCACCAATTAGAATAGCAAAAATAGTGACTGATTCCCAACAGGTTTCTTAAAAACACCCTTGTTTGCCAGTGCTTGCTAAACTCAGTCCTGCCCTAAACTTACCCCACTGGTTGTATGTTGGGTCGGTCATGATCCAAGCAAAGCAAAGTTTTGATAGCACTACAGTGTTAAAATGTTTTGGGAACATTGACGTACACATTTGTCAATGCATATTAAGCTGGGATAGAATAATTTGACCTATTTCAGCTCTAATACCAGCAAAAATTAAGCTACACTGTCATTCAGATTCTTAAGATTTTTAATTGTATTTGAAAGAAGTCTCACCCAGGCTGCATTTATTTGATAAAAAATCGAACAAAACAGTAATATTGTGAAATATTTGTAAAGTTTAGTGTATGTTTTTTATTTTTTTTATTTTAATGTATTTTCATTCCTATGATGGCAAAACCCAATTTTTCAGTCTTCAGTGTCACATGATCCTTTAGAAATCATTCTAATATGCTGATTTGGTGCTGAAATAACATTTATCAATTATCATATTATAAATGTTAAAAAGAGTTACGCTGCTTAATATTTTAGTGGAAACCGTGATATTTTTTTAGGATTCTTTGGTGAATAGAATGTAAAAAAAAGCATTTCAAATAGAAATCTTTCAGAACATTATAAATGTCTTTACTAGAGCCCGACCGATATGTTTTTTTTTGGGGGCGATACCGATATTTGGGAGTAAAAAAAGGCCGATATCGATATATCGGCCGATATTCTTTGTGTATATTATAGTACAGTACCAGTCAAAACTATAAACTCCAGCAAGATAAAGTCCTTTTATGCAAAACCACTGATGTTTATCTACAGATCAAGTATAATAATAGGAACATTGTATCATCCTAAAGAGAGTTTCGTCTTCTTGACTGTCGTAACTGAACGCCACATGCTGTCTGAATGCTGAATGGAGGATGACAGACAGCTGCAGCGGAGAGAAGGGTTTACGTGAACTTCAATTTAACGACTTAAATATTCATCTGTACCTCACATTCAACTATGGAACGATCTCAGAACACTTGAAATATAGTGCACGGAAACTTTATGGTGCTTTATAATGTTTTTGTGGCTTTCGTGGGGCTTAACAATAACACAGAATAGTATACAAACAATATCGGATTTGGATCGGTGAATATCCTGAATATCGGATCGGCGCACCCCTACCAAGGACCCCCTCACAATTATAACAGTGTTTAAGGCTAAAGTTTAATGTTTATTACGTGTAACTCAAACTTTGTCATGTGTAGGCCTATACGCGCGAATAAGTGCTTTCTGTAAACAGCTATTTATTAAATAATTTTATTTAGTGAAGCGCAACCCTCATAGAAAGAATGTGTGTATTATTTGGTTGGTAATTGCATACATTTTACTTCGCAAGATAAATTTTGTGAATTCATCAAACGCACCATCGAATGGAGTATAGCCTACTCTAGAAAAAACTAACACCCAGTATAATGAATTACTGAGTAATGAGAATGTTTAAATATGTTAAGCATACCAGCAAAACCTACATATTGTACAACAGACAAGTTAAATTGAGTCACCAAATACCTTTTGTAGGTTTAGTTGTCTCATTTAGTTTGCTGATGATGAGGCTGTGATGTCAAGTTGCAGTGCTAGAACTGATATGTTGTGTGCGCGGGAGGCGCCAGCGTGAACACTTTGGATTCCTTATATCAGCAGAAAAAGTGATATCCGTCAGATAAGAGCAAGACATCATTCAAAACAGTCTCTTTTTATTTTGTGTACCTTCAAAATGACAGTGAAACGTAGTGCTTTTGTAAAATAAAGAAAACAAACAAAAATGCGCTCTATGTGAACCACTTCCTAAAATGAAGGAAAACTTTGCGATACTGTCTACTTGTCAAACAGACATGAGAAATATTATTTAGCTATATAAACCTTAAAGTGCCCGCTTTTAAGTTTTCACGCTTTGCTTATTTGATATTAATGCATTGTATAAGTCACTTTGGAATATAAATCATAGCACGTTTCAGAAGATAAAAAACGCGAGTTGCAGTCCGGAAAATACGGTATAGCAAATTATTCTGCGGACCCCCATGGCTTTGCGTCACGGACCCCAGTTTGAAAACCACTGCTCTAGCTCATTCTAAAGACTTTGATTCTGCACTGAAGTGCAGTGTTTTGCTAAAAGTAATAACTTGTAGATCATTAAATAAATGATTTGACAGATTTAAAGATCATTGATTGAAGGATTCGGTAGACTGATTCAGACAGATGACTCGAGTGTATTGAAGTGATCCATTAAAAGAACTGACTATAAGGGTCATTATATGTAAATAAAAAAAACATAGTCATGCTGTTTACTGTGCAAGCAAATGACCCTTTGACTTTGTAAATGTATAAATAACATGTTAATGATTGAACGTCTGGATCAAGTTCACTGTAATCTTTTTTTGGGGTCAGATCACTTGAGCGCATGGCCTGACACAACAGCAAATACATTTACATTTAGTCATTTAGCAGACGCTTTTATCCAAAGCGACTTACAAATGAGGACAATAAAAGCAGTCAAAACTAACAAAAGAGCAACAATATATAAGTGCAAATAAGAATAAATGTGAATCTTTGAAATGACACACATTTGTAATTAGTGCACAAGTTATTTTCAATTCACCCTTGTGTTTGAAGGGTGATGGCTGTTCCTGCCACAGTCATCTATTTCACCTGTTATGACCAGCTGCGAGACTTCCTGCGTTACAGCATGGGCTATCAGGGGGACCATATCCCCCTGATAGCAGGAGGGTTAGCAAGATGTGAGTATGAACTTATCTTTTACAAAACTGCCGTACGTATTGTACTGTGTATTATGAAGATCATATAATAATATTACATATGTCCCTAAACATAACTCTGAAAAACAGCAGAATACATGGGTACTATATTGGTTACTGGCTGATAGTAGAGGTGTTTAATTTAATGTATCAGTCAGTTTTGGATATTAATTGGGTTCTCATTTCTCCTGTTTTGACATTTACATTTGCTGCCATCTAACACTCATTTCAAGATAATTTATATATTATATTAACATTATTAGCTAGAAAGAATATACTGCTAGTATATATACACTACCATTCAAACATTTGGGGTCGGTAAGATTTCTGAATATTTTTGAAAGATATCTCTAATGATTGCTGAGGCTGCATTTATTTGAACAAAAAACATTAAAACAGTAATTATGTAAAATTATTACATTATCAGCATCATTACTCCAGTCATCATTGTCACATGATCCTTGAGAAATCATTCTAATATGCTGATTTGCTGCTCAGAAAAGAAAGAAACATGTTATTAATGTTGAAAATAGTTGTACTGCTGCTTTTTTTGTGGAAACAATTTAATACTTTTTGGGGGGATTCTTTGATGAATAGAAAGGTCAAAAGAACAGCATTTATAATTCTTTTTTTTTTTAAACATTATTAATGTCTTTACTGTCACTTTTGTTCAATTTAATCCTTTTTGAATAAAAGTATTCTGTATTCATTTCTTTCAAGAAAATTCTTACTGACCCTAAACTTTTGAACGGTAGATTGTAATATTTTGCAAATCTCAAAATGAAAATATTTTTTCCTTACTGTATATTATAATATTGTGATGTCTAAATTCACTTCTAGTATTTAGAATGATTGATTTAAATGTTATTTTAAATGCATGTAGACAAAAAAACGGCTAAATGTTAATATCAGTGCATCCATACTTTTGTTGTACTTTTCCCAGTGTACTGTTCGATCGTTTCTGCTGTGGTGTGATCTCTGTTGTCAAGTTATTGACATCTCTCTGTGCTGCTCAGTGGGAGCGGTGTCTGTGATCAGCCCTCTGGAGTTAGTTCGGACTAAAATGCAATCCCGCAAGCTACCGTACAGCGAGCTGATGGTGTGTATCCACTCGGCTGTGGCTCAGGACGGCTGGTTATCTCTCTGGAGAGGCTGGGGACCCACTGTTCTACGGGACGTGCCCTTTTCCGGTCAGTGACCCGTACACTCTGGCGGCGTGATGGTGAACTGATGTTCCCCAGATGCAATGTTTGACTGTTTTTGTGTTTTTTTGCCTCAGCCCTGTACTGGTTTAACTATGAGCTAGTGAAGGCACAGCTGTGTGAGTGGTACCGGGCACCACAGACTTCATTCACCATCAGTTTTACAGCAGGGGCCGTCTCAGGAGCAGTGAGTATACTCTCAAAAGCCAAATATGATTGATGACTTTTACTTTAAGTGACGCATTAAAAGAAGGAATTTGATGGCTGTAAATTAATATAGAGGAGTTTATGAATGATTACATAAGACTACGGTGAGAAAAAAAAGATAAAACAATGTGAACAAACAGAGCGTGATACCTTATCTGGCCTGACTGATTAAAAATAAGGGCATTTTGCATGAGAACAAATGCTGGGTCAGCTTCTGTCCCAGATGAATGGAGGACATGAGTAAAATTGAGCTGATATCTAACTAACGGTCAAGTTACTTTTGTATATTCTTACTGCATAACATTACTACATTATTGAAATGTATTGGTTTTGCAGTGAAAATAGAATTGATTTGTGAATATAAAACAACTGAATAATCATTAAGTGTACAATTAATTATATTTGTATAATGTTTAAGAACAGATTTTGTTTGGTTGCTTTTCTCCCTAAGAAGTATCAGTAAAAAAATGTAATGCAGTAATAAATAGTAATGTTGTGAAATATTACTACAATCTACAATCTGTTTTCACTTTGAATATATTGTGTAATGTAATTTATTCCTGTGATGCAAAGCTGAAGTTTCAGCAGCAATTACTTCAGTCTTCAGTGTCACATGGTCCTTCAGAAATCATTCAGATATGCTGATATGCTGCACAAGAAATATTTCTTATTATTGTCAATGTTGAAATTAATATTTGTTAATATATTTGCGGAAACGGTGATGCATATTTTTCTTTGAATAGAAAATTCAGAAGAACAGCATTTATTTGAAATATTTTTTTAATGTTTTATATGACATTATGCATGTATTTACTGACATTTTTAAATCTGGTTTTAAACCTGGTTAAAAAAAAAAGTATTAATAAAAAAATGAATGTCTTTCATACCATCCTGGGTTATCAGCTATATATATATATATATATATATATAATTATTATTATTAAAAATTTTTTTTGACACAGATCGCTGCAATTCTGACCCTGCCGTTTGATGTGGTGAAAACACGCAAGCAAATCCAGTTAGGAGAAATGGAGGCTCTTGGAGGTATAGCAGCTTCTGTAGTTTCACCTGTTAACACATTAGAAAAAGTGGAGTAATGCAACCTGCATGTTGAGTGACATATGATGTCATTAGGTGACGGCTCACTTTTAAAAACAGTTCGGAGCTGATTACTTAAGCTAGATTTAATTACATTTATCAGGCATCAAATTTCATGACATTTTGACCTTTGGCAGTAGTCTCTGTGAAGAAACCGTCCTCCACATGGAACATGATGAGGAATATCTGGATCGACATGGGATACAGGGGTTTGTTTGCAGGTAAGCTCTAATATCTAGTGATAGTGACGTCAGAGTAGTTATATAACTTTACTAGCCAAACTAGAGATTGACATCAGTTAAAAGAGGCCTGTTTGTGACGGTCAGGATTAGGGCTGCATGATATATTGAAATAAAATCAATATTGTGATATATTTGACAATATTGTGATTGTCAAATTGCGCAGACTGCTATTTCAGTAAACATATGCGCTACTGGTTTCAGAGTGAAGTGCGGCATTTACACACGTGTAATTCATGTTCAGCAGCGCATTCTGAAACTGGCCGCGCATATTTTTGTTTGTATTTTTGTCAAAATAAAAGCTTAATTGTTTACCATTTGAAAATGAAGATATTAAGACGTAACTATTAGTATTGTAATTGTACAGTAAAGTATAGTTGTATGTTTTTATGCAGATGCACTCCCCAAATAATCACCCTAGTCATTCTTGAATTATTCTTTCCAGATATAGCTACTCGCGCCATCTGGTGGAAATTCCTGTACCTTTTCATATCGCAAATATAGCACCGAAAATCAAAATATTGTGATGTCAGTATTTCTTATATCATGCAGTTTTAGTCGGGATTAATAACTCAATAGTTTATAGTCATATAATATTATAGTTTATGGTAATCTTTTGGACGTATAATATATTGCATGCATAGAACAGTGTTGTTAGATTTGTGTAGGACCAAACTGGATCTGAAATTACAGATTACAGCTTTAAAAGTTTTTTATTGTTTAAACAGTCAGGGATAATGTTGTATACATTCACTTAACAGCTTTGCTTTTTTCAGGTTTTCTTCCAAGAGTGATCAAAGTTGCTCCCGCCTGTGCCGTCATGATCAGCACTTATGAGTTCGGGAAGACTTTCTTTCAGGAGCGTAATCTGAATCAGGCGAGATGTGGACTTTGAGATGAGCGGGAGGACCAGAGGTTTGTCCAGGATGATGAGGATGCTGAGAGAGACTCCTCCTTGCCAACTACTGCAAACACCGATGACTTCAGCCAAGCTTTGAGTTAGTTCTCTGAAAAGAAACTCTAATTGTTGGGTGATGTGCCTACTGACTGGCACAAGGAATAAAAGCTGTGAGACGTAAACCACTACTTTGCATCTGAGATGAAAGACTTGCGTTATGATGCATCAATAAATGCACAGTTTCCCCACAAACCCTGTGATGCCTTAATGAACAGTACCAAAGCATGCTGGCAGAAACACTACTTCCCCATAATGCCCCACTTATTGAAATGGCTGCTGGTTGAACGTGACATCCAGGTTGTTGTATCTGCAGTGCATGACTTGAGTCCCTTTTATTAAAGATACAGTGCTGCCCTCTGCTGTTCATGTTGAAGAAACCTCAGATAAACTGCTCAAAACTGAGCTTTACTGTGTCTTCATTTTCAGCAAATAATTAAAAAATGAGTATTGTTTTATTTAAGTGTGTTCTTTTTTGCAAATAATTAATTCACCTAAACTATAAGACTTGTCCTTATATGGCCACTGAACTTGGGAAAAGCCAAGAACATTTTTTTTTAAGTTTTGTGCATTGAGAATATAATGCCCCCTTTTTTTAAGGCAAGTCTTGTCCTGTTAGCTACACATGTTCACTGCATTTAGTTCAGATATGAACAGATATGAAGTTCTCAGATTTTATTTAATAAAAGACCTTTAAAAAATTCTTCATCTTAGAAGTTTCATTTTACCCCACTATAATTCAAGTTTATTTTTTTCAATTCAAGTTTATTTGTATAGCGCTTTTCACGATACAAATCGTTGCAAAGCAACTTTACAGCAAATTAAGTTAAAGACAACGACGAGTTAATAATATTGAGAAGCGGTTCTTCTGCTACAGGTAACAACTCTTTCAGTAATTTAGTGGGTACAGGATCTAACAGGCATGTTGTTAACAAGCAACTACATCGCCCGTAGAGGGCGACGCCACTAGAGGATCTTAACGTACGTGTGACGTATTCAGTGACGCACACGCGTCGGATGCGCATGTTGCTTTAAAAGGAAGCGCCGCTTCTCAGTCGCTCTCTTTCAATCGGACTGGGGACAAAATGGTGAGTGATTTAGTCTCCCTCACAATCCAACCTAAGTCAGAGTCGTCCATCCGTTTTTAATCGCGTACTATTCTGTATATTGTGCATAGAAGGTAAGCGAATGATTTGCTGTGGGTATGGAGTAACCGCAGCGCCTGAGTATTTTGCACATGGTGTGTGATTGACTGTAGGGGAAAATGGCAGCGTTCTGCTCGGCCTTAATCTTTTTTAACACACAAACGATTTAAATACATTTTAGAAAGCATAAAAATGAAAGTGAGATATTATAAACAATGTCAAAACATTACAAGAAAACGGGTTTACTGGCAACATCTGTAATTACTGCAATACTGCAAAACGAATAACTTTGATAATGCTAACTTATTTCTACATAAGGCATACAGCATATTAGTTACTAACCTAAACGACGGACACGCATAGCGTGTGACAAGGCTTACTTAACATCTTTAAAAAAAGATGAGAAAAAGTGAACATTTTTCGTAATCCGTTTAAATATTCACAAATATTTTATTTTAAAATACACATACAAGTAGGAGTTAATTTGTGCAAATGTTGTAAAAGCAAAACAACAACGTTCCTTGCCACATTCGGTTACGAATTACGTGAATCACGTAAATGATCAAAACGGTCGTAGAGTACTGATTGGCCATCTAAATCATTCTGACATTGACGAGCGCTGTCTGGTGTTTTTAAATTGTTTTTTTTTTATCATAAATTAAGTTTGGCAGGGACATTTTTCTGCGTGAGAAAATGGATGTGTGGCGTGACAGCGTGAGAATAGTGTCAATTGCGTGAGTGTCAAGCTGAATGCGTGAGAGTTGGCAGCCCTGAGTCTGTGCCTATCCTAAAGAATTGGGGCTTATCAAGTGAAGTGTCGAAGTAAATTTTAGGCACTAAATAAAGGGACAGTCAATTTTTTATTTATTTTTTTTTAATGCTGTCCAGTATGGTAGTCTTAATGTGTGTTCCCATGTGATGACCCCTTTAATGTAAAGTTGGCTCTTTTAGGCTACCGATATGACTTTTCTCATGCAAGAAAACATCTTTCGTGCAATTTAGGAGACTAGAAATTGAGTTTAAAACTTTTTTTTTTTTTTTTTGGTGTGTAGTCTCACAGGCTCCTTCGAAACCATGCCATGAGCCGAAATGACCTAGTGCTGTCGACGCCTCCCCTTTACCATGAGGATGGGCAAGCAGCCATGCCCGGTCTCCTTCCACTGGCCCACTGGGTTATGAAGGAACTGTGCCAACCTTTCTTTGTGCCCTCATCTACCACTTTCAGGTACAAGTCCAAGAAGAAGGCCTTTACCAAGTACTGCAAGAGGTGGCAAGATGAAGAGGGCAAGAAGCAGCTGGAGAAAGACTTTGCCTCCATGAAGAAGTACTGCCAGGTCATTCGCATCATTGCCCACACACAGGTGAGCTTACAAGCTGCATCTCACAGAAGTGTGGCCTTTGGTGACCGCTTTGTGTATTATCAAAAAGAAGGCTGGGAGATTATGGCCAAAAATCTCGTTCTCATTCAAAATGTTACTTTGGTCTTATGCCATTAATGAAGAAAGTCCATTCCACATGTTTGTTATATGAATGAATGAAAATGAATACGAATATGAATGTAAGTGACTTGGATTTTAATTTTTGGGTCCTGTGAAGGTGTTTTTTTTTTTTTTTTTT